ACATAACTATGCACCTAATATGACCAAATCATTTATACCATTTGTAGTAGGAACATTTTGTTTTTAACACTTGGAATGGTAAGAATTAAATATTACCACAACTACTTAAAAATTCTTTTGAGTTTGTATGACTATTATGGATTTTTGAATAAAATTTGTTTCCATCATCTACCATAATGATTTTCTAAAAGAAAATGATAACGGAAATTTCTGTAGTAGTATATACTATAATACATATATATACACATAATGTGTGTACATATATGTATATGTGTGTATATAGTTTGCATATAGTACATATTACATGTTATATATCACATTATATAGATACACATATTACATAAGTACACATTACATGTTATACACACAGTGAATTATATTCACATAGTATATCGCATATGTGCACATTATATATATGCTACATGTATGTATATACACCTGGTCTCCAGGTTAACCCCATCTCCTGCCTTAGAGGAAGCGGAGTAAACCCATTCCTTCAGATATCCCAAATCTGGCTCCTCATCTGAACAACCCAAGTCTCTGAGTCCAACTACCCACCCTAAGGCCAACCCCTATGGAGAAAATCACAGAAATCCACAATAAATTTATGTTACATAACCTCAACTGGGTCTGCACTGCTGAAAGACAATCCTTCTATATTTCCCTAATTAACTTACCATCCTGCTCACAACAGGAGGTCTTATAAATCTTTTCATCCATCCTCAAACTTCTCATGTCTCCCCTTTCCCGAACCCTGTCAGCTGAGAACTTTGCCTCATGTTTTATTGAAAAAAACTGAGGCCATTCATCCCCACCTCCTTCATCTCATATCTCCCAGGTCCCTTCTGCCACTACCTCCTCTTTCACCCCTGCCTCAAATGATGAGATGGCCCTTCTCCTTGCCAAGGCAAACCCCTGTACATGTACCATGGACATCTTAAAGTCAGCATGTTTAAAACTGTCTAACCTGAACTAACTGAACTTGTTATCTTTTCCCCAAAACTCTCCCCTTTTCCTAACTTCCTTATTACTATTGAAGACACTGTTTTTCCAGTAACCCAGGCCAAGGCATGTTGATTTTCTCTTTATGTGTATATATACACATGCATATACACATATGTTGACACATACACATATATGTATATACACGTTCAACCTATACATATACATATACACATATGTGTACATATATACATATATAGTATACTATAGAATAGTATCTAGTACTATAATACAATATACTACATTGACTAGGTATATATGCTAATACAGTAAACACTATATTGATATTAAATATAAAATAGACTATGTAGAACATATACAAGATTGCACATACTCTCTTGTATAGCTTTCTAATTATATGTCATGCATATAAGTCATGTTTTCATGACAAAGTTCTCCAAAAGCAGAGACTTCTCCTGTCTCCGTGATAGCATCTATCTAGCACAAGACTGGTTGGTTGTAAAATGACTATGACATAAAGATTTGTTGACATCTTTAGACTTTGTCTGGCTTGTTATCTTGTCCCTATACATCCCATTCCATTTCCTACCCTTGTGCCTTTCCCTAAGTTGCCTAGACTTTGAATTCCTTTGCACTTATACTTTCGGTTTGTGCTGCACCATTTTATAATTCCATATCTGTTGCCTTGGAATCCATCAGTCATTCAATAAACATTTATTAAGTGCCTCCTATGTACCAGACACTATGTTAAGTTCTAAGAATAAACTCCCCAAAACACAGAATGCCAGAGATGGAAGAATCTTTAAAGATACTGTTGAATTTCCTCATTTTAATAGTGAAAGAACAAAAAACCCTAAGATTAAATGATTAATTAGGCTGGTTTTCTCATCTTTAAGTTCAAAGCTCTTTTCACTTCTCCAGCCACTTCATTCAATCAGTCACCAATCAACATAGATTTAGGGGGCATCTAGGTGGCACAGTGGATAGAGCTCTAGTCTTGGAGTCAGGAAGACCTGAATTCAAATCTAGCCTCAGACACTTGACACGTACTAGCTGTGTGACCCTGGGCAAGTCACTTAAAGCCAATTGCCTAAGCAAAAAAATAAATAAAAATCATAGATTTAAAGCTGGACAGGACCTGAGGGAAGGGCTGTCTTCTTATTTAATCTTTCATGTAGCTTAGCCCCTTGTTGAGTAGAAACAAAATTATTAGGTTGAAATGAATTGGACAACCTCTGTGTCCTAATAGATTATAACGAAGACGGAAGAAAGGGAGTGATTCTATACCTTGCCTGAAGATGAATACATTTTAATCTGCTAATGAGAAGATGAGATTCTACAGTGAGGTGCTTTTTCTGACATTGTGATTTACAAAGAGCCTTTATGTTTGGAAATTAACATTTTTATGCTGCATTCCTCTTTTCTCCTTTTTTAGTCCCCATTGTCTAGATTGGTGATTTCATGTACAGACCAAGAAGGCTTCAGGCCTCTTCTTGTATTTATAAAATCAATGAACCATAGAATGTCAAAGAGAGCAGGAAGAGATGTTAAACTTTATCCTTGGAGTCACCCTCAACTGTTTCCTCTCTGCTATCTCTCATTCTTTGTCCTGCCCAACCCCACTTCCATCAATTGCCAACCCTTGTAGATCTTACTTCTACAACACCTATATCCCCTTTCTCTTCATTTATGCAAATTCTACCCCAGTTCTAGCCTCCATCACCTTTCTTCAAAAAAAAAAAATTGTAAGTATTCACAATATCACTGCCCCCTTTGATCAAAACAAAACATAAACAGAAAAACTAAAACCCTCATCATAAACATGCATAGCCCAGCAAAATAATATTGACCATGCCTGAAAATATACATCTTTTTCTGTTTTAAGTTCATCACTTCTCTAGCAGGAGGTAAGTAGCGTATTTCATCTTGAGTCTTCTGAACTTGTGGACTTATCATTACATTAATCAGGGCTCTAAAATCTTTCAAAATTGTTTTTTCTTTCTAATGTTGTCATTGTATAAATTGTTCTCCAGGTTCAACTCACTTTGTTCTGTATCAGTTCACATAGAAATTAGAGATCTCTTTTTCCTTCTGAAACTGTTCATTTCATTTTAATTATGGCACAATAATTTTCCATTACATTCATTTACTATTAATATTTCTATAGCATATATGGAGTGTGTGTATGTGATCCTGTGTGATCCTGGACAAGTCACTCAATCTCTGTTTGCCTTAATCTATTGGAGAAAGATATGGCAAACCACTTCAGTATCTCTGCTAAGAAAATCCCATGGACAGTATGGTCCACAGGGTCATGAAGAGTTGGACACAAGTGAATGAATAAACAACAGAATAGTATGTATATGTATGTGGATATGTGCATATACACACATACATGTATATATTTGCACATACATGTATATATACACATATATAGGTATGACTATGTATGTATGTATATATGTGTGTGTATACACACATATTTAGGAATGAATATTCTTAAAAATTAAGTCTGATTATATTACTTCTCTTCTTTTTTATGTAAATAATATTTTATTTTTTTTCCAATTAGATGTAAAGATAGTTTTCAGTGTTCATTTTTTGTAAGATTTTGAGTTCAAAAATTTTCCCTTCCTCTTTCTCCTCTCCCTTCCCCAAGACAGCAAGCAATCTGGTAAAGGTTATACACATGCAATCATGTTAAACATATTTCCACATTAGCCATGTTGTAAAAGAAGAAACAGAACAAAAGGAAAAAATATTTCTTTTCTTCTTAAGAAGCTCCAATAGTTCCCATTTGCCTCTAGGATAAAATACAAACTCCTCTACTTTGCATGTAAAGTCCTTCCCAATATGACTCCAGCCTGCCTTTCCTGGTTTAATGAACATTAGTTCCCTTTCTGTATTCTACATTCTAGCCAAATTAACCCTATTTGCAGTTTCCTGGATGCAACACTACCTCCCACCCCTTTGCCTTTGAAAAGACTTTACATTTTGCTGAGTATAATATCATTGCTTTATAAATGATTGATTAACCAGATGCCTTTGACCCTGTTTTTCCATTTCATCCTTAGCTCTCTCTTCCAGATTGTCTCATTTCTTTGGACAGTCTCCCTAATATCTGCCATTTGTTTCCTACCCCCTTATTCAGTGTTTACTTTAGATGGTTCTTCTTGCACTAAGCCTTTCTTTATTAAACCAGATCAGGAAAAAATTAACCATCTTTAAAAAACAAAAACAAACTTGAGCCTTCAAAAAATTGTCCTCCAAACTTCACCCTATTAGAATCTCTTTTTTTAAAAAAAAGCCATTTATTTATGTTTTTCAGTAGTTTCAGCAATTCTCTTCTTTATCTGTAGACTGTTGAAGGGCGGAACAACTCTGTCCTGAGCCTGGACTGTAGGATTAACCTAAAGCTATTTAATATTCTCTGATAAAGGTGAAATGCATTTGAGGAGGTGAATAGTGAGGAAAGTTGTGATGGATGCCTTGAGATGACAAAAGGGCTTGGAGGAGATAACAGTTTCAATATAGTTTGTGATGACCCAACTAAACCAAAGGATAAAGGACTTGAACCCAGTATAAAATGATTAAGGGGCTCTTTGAGGGTTAAAAGAGAAGGGAAACTTGGCTTTGAACAAATGCAGCGTGCACAGACAGTATTAAATATCATTTGGTGAAGCAAAGAATTTTAACAAACACAAAATGCAATTAGCAGACAGCAATTCTTTTGTCTTTGGTAATCTCATCAAGCCCATTCTTTAGAAATGTGACTAATTTCTTTTGGGAAAAGATGGGGAGGGAATGAGGAGAGTAGGGAAAGAGAGACATACCAATTTGTCCATTTCAGCATCCTAAGGATGCATAATAAGCCTGAGCATGCTCTGGAGACCCAGGCATTGGCATAATTCGGACCTGGAACTTCGGGGCCAGCAATGTCTGGATTCTACCTGCTTAGTCATTAACAGCTCAAGTCTGTCAATCAGCCAGCACGTTCTGTTCTCTCCAAGGTAACAATGGCTATTCCCTCTCTACAGTTAATGCAGAAGAGGCCCAGGCTTCTGATCCCCGAGACATTAACCAAGATGACTATCTCCAGTACCAGAGACTGAAGAAGCAATATGACGGTCAGAGATCAGCCACAAAAACAAAATGAGTTTAAAGGGATACATGCTGGGCTGGCAGATAACCAGCAACACATTGCTCACATATAGGTATATAAAACAAAACCTCAAGGTTAACAAAATGGTAAGAGGTTTGTCCTGTATGCTATCCAGCACATAAATAGTAACTGTCATCTGTAGGGCCTCATCACTTCATTTTACCTTCTGTGAGATGCAGCTAAACAACAGTTTTTCTGATTCACCGTCAACAGTGGTTTACTAAAATACAGTGTGAATTTTTAACAAGAATTCTCCCCCTTTCTTCAATACTTGGCTTCAGAGAAGAAAACATCGAATAAGTCTATTTGAGTTTGGTGGTTTTATAACTTCCGGGGGCAAGTGTAATTATATACAGTATTTACAGAATACCATTCATGCTGGAGAGTCTCAATGGTGTGGTTTAAAAAAAAACATACACACATCTTTGAATTAATATTTACATAATCTAAAAGAAGCACAAGATACTACTTCGATTTTACATGTGGAGAAAACGTGGCAGCGAGATCAAATGTCTTGCAAAACATGAGGTCAGAAAGAGCTCCTTGAACAACCCCATCCAAGGCCAGACCTGGTGCTTCCTCTCCTGTGTTCAACTTCTGTCACATAATATCTATCTCCTTCAATAGTATTATTACAGTCTTCCTCCATGTATTCCTTCCTTTGTGTGATTTTATAAATTAGAACAACAAAGTGAAAAAATAAAGCAATTCCTCAAAACAAATGAAATTTCTCAACAATGAATGGATCACTTTGGTTAACTACAGTCTCCAGTGTGTGGTAATCCAACCCAAAATCACAGAATCCTAAATTTGGGGGGGTGGCGAACCTTAGAGGTTATCATGTTCTGAGGATTGGTGGTGAAAAGGCAGTAGGACACTCTCAATATCCATGAGAGGAAAACAAATTTAAAGCTTTGCTTCTTAAATAGAAAACCTGGAAAGTACATTCTGAATATGGCAGCAAAAGAGTGACTAGCATATAATAGGTTTTTAATAGGATGGGTTAGTTGAATTTGTTGAATTGAAAACTTTTCACAATTTTTCTAATTACCATAGAATAGATTTTTTTTTATGCTGCCATTAAGTGTCAATCTCAACACAAACCAAGCTCTGTCCAATGAATCATTCATTAGACTGGTTGGGAAAGTCATTTACATTTCTGAAATGGTTTTCAGTGACATGGGTCACAAGGGTTTTGGGTCCCAGGATGATGGTAATTTTACAAAAGAGAGGAAATATTATTTTTAAAAGGCATCTCTAGCTTCACTATAGACCAACAGCATCTGATGGAGTCATAGAATTTTAGAGCAGGAAGGGGATTGAAGAGTATTTAATCACATGATATGCTTTTTTCCTCTGGTGCATTCTTCAAATATATCCAGTGAGCTATTAGTCCCCATTTTCAATTCTTGCATAATATAAAACTCACTGTTAAACTGGAGAGACTAATTTCTGTGTTTTATTAATGCTGGGTTACAATGAAAATGTCTACTGGGGCTTTCAGACTGGGGTTATTTAGAATAACAGTGTTTACGCCATATGGAAGGAATAGCAACATTCTTTCAGTTCTGGGAAAGATCTCATTTTAGCCCCTGGTGGAAATCAGCTTATTTAAAAATGCTTCCGTTAACAGAAGGCAAGGAAGATAGCGTCTTATTCCTATTCCTAGCAGCTGCCAGCCAAACCTGTAGCTCAGCCATTGGTGTTACTATATTTCCAATATAAATTATAACCATGGAAGTCCATTCCTTAACTTTGTTATATCGATATCAAATTGCTACCTCTGGGCAAGAAAAATATGTTAAGGTCCACCTCAGCCACTGGGATGAGGCAGAAGTCTTTTAAATGTATTTTCCCAGCAATAGGCTCAACAATATGGTTTCAAATGACATCTGGCTTTTTTTTGTTGTTGTTCATGCTGAACAATGTTTAACAGTAAAACAATTCCTACTGAAATCAGTGCATAAATATTTTATTGTTGCAGAACCATAAGCAGCAAAATGCCAGTTTTTCAATGAAAAGCAAATAAGTCTAAAGGGTTCCATTGTTATCTCTATTTGTAATCATCATGTGCAATTATGCAAAACAGTAAGGGACCATATTGAAGAAATTATTGGAGGAAGGGAGCAGTTACACATACATTTCTGTAGCCTCTGATGTTCATAGTTCTTATGTTCTCTGGATGAAGTGATGAGGTCACACAACGCGCTTTCCAAATTCTCAAGTTACTGTTTTAAGATTTATAAAAATGACTTGGGGTAACCTGGAAAAAGTCCCATGAATTTTAGGCTTATCAGCATCACCAAGAGAGACTGTTTATTTCTTGATAAATTAAATTAGAGCAGTCTCCTCCACATTCCATGGTGTTGATATTTCCTATCATGGTGGTTATGGCTATGCCAAGAATGTCACTTGCCTCCTGTCTTGCTCTTTTCTCTGACTACCAATTGGTCGGGGAATAATAGAACTTTCTTTTATGCATTCTCTCTCACTGGGTCCATCTATTGGTCCACTCTTCACTAGATGCCCTTTCTCCTTGTTGCCATCCAAGTGATGGCCAATTTACACTTTTTAAAGATTCATATTGTCTTCTTAATATTCTATAGATCATTCCAAGCTCTTTAGACTGTACTTCAAAGCCCTTTTCCACAGTGTCAAAAGCTACCAATTGTCCCAACTAATTCTCTCCAAATTTTGGCTAACACTCCTTTGGCTAACAACTTCTGAAATGCAGGTCAGATGTTTTAGTCAATGAATCAATCAAGTATTTTTTAAAATAAATTTTTGTTGATATATTTGATTTTTATATTGCCTAAATTTACCCTCCTAAATGTATCCATTTCCCAGAGAACCATTTCATATGACTAAAAAACTTTTTAAAGAAAAAGGAGGAAGAAGAGACAAAGTAAGCAAAACTGATCAATACATTTTTAAAAAATTGAAAATGTATGTTGAGTTCCATACCTGTGGACTTCCCACCTCTGCAAAGGGATGGGAGGAGGTGTCTTCTTATCTGTCTTCTATTTTGCAATATTCTCTTTTGGTTGTTTCGTGGTTGTGGTTGTTGATTTGCATAATTGTAGTCATTGTATTTATAGGGTTGTTTTTGTTAGCCCTACTTTACTCTCCATCAGTTCATGTAAATCTTTCCATGCCTTTCTATATTCATCAAATAGTTTATTACAGTACAGTAATATTCCATTATATTTATGTACCACATTTTGTTTAGCCATTCCCCATTTGTTGGGTGTCTACTTTGTTTCCAGTACTTTGCTCCACAAAAAAGTGTTGCTATAAATATTGTGGTATATGTACCAAATATTTGGTATACATATATGTATATGGTATATGATTTTCTTCTTAGCAATGATTTCCTTAGGATATATGCCTACGAGTAGCATCTCCAGACAATTCCAAATTGTTTTAGAAAATTGTAGCATTTACTCATTGATCTATCAGCAATGTACTGTCCTGATCTATATCTTGCCATTAGACCCGGATGGCTTAGGAAGAGAAAGTGAGGCTTGTGACTTTGCACAGCCCTGTCTCACTTAAATCTAATTCATGTGCAAGTCATGACATCACCTTCCCAATGTCATGGTCCTCTATGAGAAAGAAGGACAAACAACAACAAGAAGTATGCCTGTCTTCCCCCTTCCATGACTAGTCCCATCATTTGTCATCTTCGCCAATTTACTGGGTGTTAGGTGAAACCTCAGCATCATTTTGATTTGAATTTCTATTACTATTAGTGATTTGGAACATTCCTTCATATGGCTGTTAGTGGTTTGCAATTCTTTTAAGAACTATTTGTTTCTAACCTTTAGCCACTTATTTATTGGTGAATGACATTTTGGTCTTTATACATACAAAAATACAGATAGAGAGTTGTCTACATATGTTGGATACAAAATTCTTGTTTGAAAATTTTGGTACAAAGATTTTTCCCCATCTGAGAGCAGTTAAATACAATGCAATAATTTGCAATAATTTTGTGCAGGAACTTTTCAACTTCATGTCATTAAAATTATGTATTTTGATTCTCATTCTTGATTGGTTAATAATATATCTCCTACCAATGGTTATGAAAAAAATATAATCTACTTTTCTTCTAGCTTTTAAAAATGATATCTTTAATACTAAGGCCATGTATCCATTTTGAAGTTATTGTACAATATGGTATATGATTATAGTCTAAGCTCAAATTCTGCTAGAATATTTAATAGTTTTTCCAGAAGTTCTTATCAAATAAGGAAATTTTTTCCTAATTAATTTATATTTTTGGGTCTATAGAACTTCTGGACTACTGAGTTCTGTTATTTCTGATTCTCTCCTGTCTATTCAATTCCATTGATCTACTTCTCTGTTTTTTAACCAACATCAAATGGTTTTGATAACTGCTGTTTTATAAATTTAGTTTAAAGTCTAGAAGTACTAGTCTTCTTTTGTTCCTACCTTGTTCATTATTTGCCTGGATATTCTAGGTTTTTCTTTAAATGAATTTTGCTATTAATAAGTTCTAGAAAGTACCACTTCGATAGTTTGGCTGGTATAGCATAAAACAAATTAACTTTGATAGCACTATCATTTTTATTGTATTGGCACAGCTCAGCCAAGAGCACTGAATAGTCTTCCAATTGTTTAAATTGTTCATTATTTCTTTAAAGGGTACTTTATGATTGAATCCATGTAAGTATTTTGCATGCTTGGTAGATTGATCCCCAAATATTTTCTCCATTTTGTATTTATTTTGAATGAGATTTTTCCATGATTGCATCTTGGATTTTGTTATTTAGAACACTGTTGATTTTGATGGCTTATTTTGTAGGCTGCAACTTTGCTGAAGTTGTTTATTCTCTCCATTGAAATTTTTGTTGATTCTTTAGAATTTTCTAAGTATGCCACCATATCATCAGCAAATAGGAATGGTTTTGTCTCCTCTTTACCTATATTTACTCTTTTGATTTCTTTTTCTTGTTTTACTTCTACTCCTAACATTTCTAAAACGAAGTCAAATTATAGTAGGAAGAATAGACCTCTGCTTTATTCTTGCATTTATTAGGAAAGCTCTTAGTGTATTCACATTGCATATGATGCTTCCTTTCGGTATTAGATAACTTGTGACATTTTAAAAAGATCCAACAGCCATTTCTAGGGTGGAGGGGGGTAGGGAGGGAGAGAAGGAAAAAAAAAGAAATTTACATGATAATTTTGTTGTATATTTGAAAGGAATAGCAAGTTGTGCATAGTAGCTTTGCAGTTTCATGTATAATAATTTTTTATTGTACTGTTATGAAAATGCTTGTTTTATTCCATAAATTAAAAATAAAATAACCCCTCTATGCCTATATTTTCTAGGGTTTTTAGTATAAATGAGTCTTATACTTTGCCAAAGGCTTTTTCTGCATCTGTTGAGCTAATCATATGGTTTGGAATGTTTTTGTTTTTAATATGATTAATCACGTTAATTATTTTTCTAATGTTGAATCATTGTTGCATCGCTGATATAAATCTAACTTGGTCATAATGAATAATTTTTTGAATAAATTGCTGTCTCAACAAACGTATAGGTACCTACTATGTGTCAGGTACTACGCTAGATTCTGAGGATACATAATTAGAAATAAAATCCTTTTCCAACTCACTAACATGTTCAAAGGGGGAAAAAGCTATTGCATTATCATAAACTTTCTCAGGGCTATGCTACTTTTCA